AGACTTCTGGCTTCCCTTGGTTGTAGGAAGGACTGGGGGCTCCATCCTCTCCCTCTTCCTTCCAGATCCCACTCTTCCTGGGCCCGCGAGAGGCACAGGGGACGTGCCCACCCCCAAGTCTGGACCCCGTGAGAGGAGCCAGGGCGGCTTGAATCCCTGGGTCTTGGGGAGAGCCCCTTACCCACTCCCTCCCCACTCCCCTCCAGTTCCCCTGCTTCCCACAAGCTGCTTTTGAGATGCAAATGCCAAGTACCCTCCTCCCCACCCCTCCTTTTCCATTGAAATGCTTCAAGTTTCAGAGAAGAGGGAAAATGATGTGTTTAAGACAGCACTGTCTCACCAGCCATAGAGCCTGATAAGAGATTGTTACATTTTAATTAGACAATTTGATTCCTTCAACTGCCAAACTTTCCGGGGAGGCAGCACGGCGGGAAGCAGGCTGCTGGAGTTTATACTGCGCCCAGGCTTCCTCCCACCCCACCTCTGGGCCCTGCGCCCCCAAGTTTTGCAGGTGGATGGAACCATACTAGAGAGAGGACAGAAGCCTTCTCTCGGTCCCCCTCACCTCCCCCCATCAGCCAGCTTTCCTCCAGGGTCCCAGGCTGTCCTAACAGATTGACCCTTCTGGCCCCACCCCATCAGGCTGGGGACCAAGGGCAACTGCAGCCTCCAAGTTTGGGGTGTCAGCCTCAAACTGTGGAATTTTAAAGGAGTTTTTTTTTTTTTCTTCCAACATACTTGTGAGAGGCTGTTTGTGTCTGCAGCTGCCGGGGGAGGAGGGAGAGTTGCCTGCCTCCTCTCAACAGCCTCCACCTTCCCCTCCTCCCCTCCCCTGCCCCAGTGCAGGCCGACTGTGTGAGTTGGCCAGGGCGGGCGGCCTCCGTGGGCCAGCTCGGCCCCAGCTACCTGTCTGGGCTCTCACTGCCTTCCTCAACTGGACAGCTAGCTCCTTTTCAAATGAGGGCACAAACAGGAAATGGTCGCATGCAGAAAGCCCAGAGGATAAGTGGCGGAGGCCTGGAGGCTGGGAAAGCCCGCTCCACCATCCACTCGCACTGACAAGCCCGCACACCTCATTCACCCCAGACACCGCGTTGGGACACTCTGCGGTGTGGGCTCTGAGGACGGCAACCATCAGAGCAGACCGGAGCTAGGCTGGATGTTCAGGAGAACTCGATGCAAGGGGGGCAGACCACCAGAGTGGATGATTCTGGAAGGTCTTTCAGTCGATGGTTGCCCTTCTGAGCTGAGTACCGGAGACAGATGAGGGTCAGGGGATCTCTGGCGCTTCGATGGCTTGAGGCTTGCGGGGACCCCACACCCCGGAGCTCTCCAAGCTCCTGGCTCCCTCCTCTTTCCCATGCACCAGGGCAGCTGAGAAAGAAAAAGCCTAGGAGGCCCCAGAGCACAGCGGGACCTCCTCTGCCAGCAGTCTGCTGGGGAGGGTGGCGTGGGGAGCAGCAATGCCCCGCTTCCCTGCATAGGGAAAAGGAGGGTGATACTTTGGGGGACTGGCAGCCGCTCCTCCTGCTGGTGTCTCTGTCAGTTCCGGTTGCCTTAACAAAGTACCCTAGATGGGGGGGCTTCGACCCCAGAAATTAATTTCCTCACAGTCCTGGAGGCTGGCAGTCCGAGATCAAGGGGCCAGCATGGTTGGGTTCCGGTGAGAGCTCTCTTCCAGGCTTGTAGACGGCTGCCTTCTCACTGTGTGTTTGCACGGCACGAGGAGGGGGAGACTCGGGTGTCTCTTCCTCTAAGGGTGCTCATCTCGTCCCGAGGACCCTGTCCTCCTGTCCTCTAGACCTCAGCTCCGAATACCATCACCTTGGGGGTTATGACTTCCCCAAGGCACACGTTGAGAGGCACACATTTCAATCCTTACCAATAGGGTTAGATTGTTCATCCCTGTTCCAGGAGACAGGACTAGCTAAGCAATGGCAGGGACCATGTATGTATTTGGCACTCGCTAAATGCTCCTTGATGGGGACCGATTTGGAGCTTTTACATGTGAGACGGTAGCCACCTGGAAGAGAATGGAGGTGGCGTCTGGAGGTTGGTGAGCAAGGTGACCATATTTTCATAACCCCAAATCAAGATTCTTGTTCTGATGACAGAAAGTTTTAAAAATAATATGAGATTTATTTATCTGAAATTTCCTATAGGAATAATTCGCCTTGGGTCATACATGTAGCCATCTCCTTTTTAAAAAGGAACAAGAAATTTGAATCATCCTGGCAAATCTAGGGTGCTGACTGCTATCGAGCTTGGCTTTTGCTAGCTCCAGGAGGCGCAGAGTGGGCCCTGACCTCACCTGGCTTCTCTGCGGCCAGGACCAGGCCAGAATACCTGGAGCTCCCCTCTCCCCCAAACGAGCAGAAGCTCTGACAGGGACAGAGAGGCTCAAGGGGTAGGACAAGGGCAGGCATCTGAGGGGCCCTTCAGGAGCCCCTGTGGTGAGAAAGACCACAGCCTGGCCCTTCCTTTGTGCCTTCTTCTGGGACATCCCCTGGAGCCCTGGACAGAAGGAAAAGAAGGGATGGGGCTGGAGCTGGGGCAGGGGCCGAGTGGGGACTGATGGGTTTTCTCAGGTGTCCCGAGAAAGCGCCAAAAGAGAAGTGGCCAGGAGGACACGGTATTTTAACCATTCTAAGATGCACACCTTCCCCACCTCCACATACACACATTTTAATGTCTCTGAAATCAGAATGCATTTTACAGTGGACCCCATCTTAGAGCTGTATTGCAGTTTGATAGCATTGTTTTTCTTTCCTACTGGTGCATTAAACAATGGTGCATCTTACATTCAACTCTATTTTAGAGCCTAGGAAATATGGCAATTGGTATTACATGGCTCAGGCATAGACTTTGCCTTTATTCTCCTTTACTCCCCCCAGGGGTTGTCTGCTGCGTCTTGGACCCCTTCTCCCCTCACCTAGACCCCCACTTTCCAAGGACCAGCCATAGGAGGTGGCATGGTCTAACAGCGGGATCCCAATGGACTGCGTTTGGACAGTCTAGTCACTTCACCTCCAGGAGCCTCAGGCTCATGGTCTGAGTGCTTGTTTCTTTTAATTCTTTTGCTTGGTTTGATTTGTAAAGTTCACAATCCTTGAGAGTTTACCTGGGACGGCCACACATGCATCATTTTACTTTATCCTCACGACAGTAATTGCTATCCCCATTTTGCAGGTGGGAAAACCGAGGCTCAGGGAAGCCAAGTAGTCTGGCCCAGATGCCGGAGCTAGTAAAGGTGGAGTTGGGATTGGAACCCGGGTTGTTTGGTCCTCACCCTATCTTACACTAGTATCTCTCATGCTAGAGTACCTCCTTGGTGGGGCAAGATTTGCTGATGTCTAAATTCCCGCTCTGCTTGGTGTTGCGTGGGAGCTAGCCAGACGGCCCCCGCTTGTGAGTGATGTCGGCCCCAGGTAGGAAGGGTGCTGAGGACACAGTAGGGACTGGGGCTAGCTCTGGGGGTTGGAAGAAAATCCTACACCAAGATATTAGTAGGGTCTACAGGCATTTAGTTTTTCCCATTCTTTCTGTAACATTAATCTATTACATTTGTATCAGAAAAAAAAAAAAAGAACTATCTAGAACTATCTAGAATAAATACTGAATTAGAAAATTAAATGCATGAGGCCTTTCCAGCCTTGGGTGAAGGGACTCACTCTTGTCCTGCAGAGAAGCCAGCACGCAGACGGATGAGTGCTCACCCCCTAACCTGCCCTGACCAGCAATGCTCACATTTGCTATCTTACTTGTACCCATGATTTTAAGTCCTGGTTGAAGCTCTTCCCCCTCCAGGAAGCCCTCCATGAGCACCCCAGCCATGCCCCTGTGCATACCCTCTCTGATTTCTGAGCACCCACTGTAGCGGCCCAGTGGCGGAGTGGTCACCGGACCCCTGCAGGACCAACTCACTCCCTCCCCAACTACTGGGCCTGCCAACAGCTGACAGTTTGAGATGCGCCTACCCTCTTGGCAGGTGCCCACTTGAAGAGAGATGCCTCTCTCAAGGTCACACCTTTTCCCTGGGCCAGCCCACGCCCTGTGACATTATGAGAGGGGACACCTCTGCAGGTTCCCTGAGGGGGTCACCTGAGGCCTTTGATGGGACTGCAAAGCAGCCCAGCTTGTCCTCGGCCCAGTCCTGCATCCTGCCCTTCTCTGCAAGCCTCCATCCTGAGAACAGTCTCCAGTAAGTTCCCTGCATGCTAACTTCCTCCTCAGTCTTATTTTTGGGGATCCAACATGCAACGCCCATGGTTCTCTTGGGCTGTCTTTCTCTTTTGCCTCTTGTTCATCTGGTGGCCTATCTTTATAGCTACATTTCCAGGGCAGAGGGCTTTTCTTCCCAGTTGGACTCACAGAGCCTCTGACTCAGTTCAGCAAACAACTTACTATCTGCAGATCCCAGAGAACAAGAGAGTATGCTCTTTTATTTGTTCATTCCATGAAGAAGATGAGGCATGAGCAAGATGTGGTGTAACCTTAAGATGCTTACAATCCAGTTGGGGGGGGGTGGGAACAGATACACAGAGGGGGTGTGTTCCAGAACAGAACTCAGGAACAAAGTGGGACCCCCCCCCCCAAGGAGGGAGGGAGGTGGTCCAGCCTAGAGCACTTGAGATTGGGTTCCAGGGAAGGAGTCTTCTGTGCAAGCCTTGCTTTGAAGGACAGGTAGGGGCTAGGGGGAGGGGAAGGGATGTTTTCCAAAGACTTTTCTCATTCGTAGAGTTGCGATAATATTTACAAGCCTCTGAGGTGGTTTTGAGGATAAATGAGATAATATATATATCATCCGATATGTATGTTCGAAGCAAACTATCAAATCCTCTGTAGGTGTATGAAGCGACATCATAGGCAGGCTCGGGATTGTGAGTCTGGTTGGGTGTCAAGAAGGGGCGGGGTGGGCCAGACAGGGAGCCACAGAGTCTCCATGCTTGGCGAGGTCCTCCTGCTCACTCCCTGTGTCTATTTTCCCTGGCCAGAGCCTGGCCACCCAGTGGCCCCACTGCCCCGATGGATCCACTGAACCTGTCCTGGTATGATGATGATCTGGAGAGCCGGAACTGGAGCCGGCCCTTCAACGGGTCCGAAGGCAAGCCCGGCAAGCCCCACTATAACTACTACGCCATGCTGCTCACCCTGCTCATCTTTGTCATCGTCTTCGGCAACGTGCTGGTGTGCATGGCCGTGTCCCGCGAGAAGGCGCTGCAGACCACCACCAACTACCTGATCGTCAGCCTCGCAGTGGCCGACCTCCTGGTGGCCACGCTCGTCATGCCGTGGGTCGTCTACCTGGAGGTAGGTCTGCATCCCGGCCTTGAAGGCGTGGCTCCTCCCTGGTTCCCACCAACAAGTTGCCTGGTGCCTTCTCCGCGGGTCTGGCCTCTTCCTCCACTCTGGGCTCAGTTTTTCTCCTGATAAAATGGGCTGCTTGTTCCTTGACAATCCCAACTCCCAGTTGGAGAGTGCTTACTAAGGGCCACGCCTCGTGTCCCGTCCCCTGTACGTGGCGTTTCCCCATGTGGCCCTCAGGGCAGCCCTGCGAGGTCACTGCAACACAAACATCCTTTCACAGGTGGTGAGCCAGGTGGTCAGAGAAATCACACAGCTGGTGAGTCCCAGCTGGAACTCTGGCCCCAGGTTGGCTCATTAGATCATGCTGGAAATGGGAGTCCATTGAGGAGGATCCTCAAGGAATGGGGATGTTCATGCTTCTAGGCCGGAAGCTTCCTGTTCTCTCTTCCCCCTTCAAAAGCAGGGGCGGCTGCTCTGTGTGCTCTGTGTGCTCCTTATCCCTCCCCTCTCCCCCAGTTTGGTCTAGTGCCTGTGTCTGGGACCTCCAGGCAGGGGTGTCTGTGGGCTGTGCCGCAGGCCCTTTGCTCAGGAATGTCAGGGCTCGTCCGAATAGAGAGCAGGCAGCCCCCGCTGTGGTCCAGGCACTGCGCCAAGCATTTTGCAGACATAGACTCCACACCCATGCTAATCCTGGAGTTGATACTATTCTCAGTTTACAGAAGAGGAAACAGAAGCTTTAAGAAGTTGCCTGTCTTGACAGGTTGCACAGCAAGGGAGGAACGACTAATGCAGGAGTCCCTAAGGGTGGAAGCCCCTCCCGGTGGACACTTTCCAGAGCTGACAGGCGGATGTGGGAGGGTCTGAGGGCTTGGGTCCTGGATCCCGCCCCTTTCTCGGCCAAGGACTCTGGGGTCTGGGAACGGACCAGCCTATCAGGGAATAGCCAAGGCTAAGGTCCCTCAGATCGCTGGGCAGGTACCTTCCTGCCTGGGCAAGCGAGGGGCTTACCTTTACTACGGAGGCAAGTCCCTGGCTGGGAGGGAAAGTTCTTCCATGTTTAAAGGAAAACATGAAATTTTGTAGGCTTGAGCAGAGGAGACATCTAGGAGAAGAAGCTGAAGTGGGGAGGGGAGGCTGGTCCAGAGTGGTCCCTCTCCCTGTCTCCCCACCTGGGGTGGGGGGGGGCGGTCCCTGTGCCTCCTCCACCTGGTGCTCAGGATCAACACTCCCCTGGGTTCCTTTAGCACAGCCCGAATGGGCTGGAACATTCAAAATGGATGTTAAGGAAGGAGAGCCAGGGTCACTTGTCTGCATTTTGGCCTCACCGCCCTGTGAGGTGAGGGTTTACCGTGTGCATTTTCCAGGTGGGCAGATGAGATTGAGAAGGGGACAGGCCAAGGCCACCTTTATTCACTCATTCGGCAGGTACTGAGCCCGGCCATGTCCTACAGCATCTTCGGGGCTTGCCTGCCATCAGTGAAGACCCGATAGGACCGTTGTCGTGCAGTCTGATGGTGGTGACAACGGAGCAGTCCCCACGCGGGGTGTGGAACCCGATGGGGGGCATGTGGGGACAGGAAGTCTTGCAGGAGGCAGTGATGCTTCCAGAAGAATTATCCAGGGGGCGGAGCAAAGCGCTTGCACTCCAGGCCGAGAAAACAGTCGGCAAAGCGGCAGAGCAGGAGGGCGTGCCATGGGCTGCAGGTCTGGGGGGCAGTGGCCGTGTCACTAGCCTCAGAGGTTTGCTGTCCCCATGGATGGAGACGACACATCTCAGTGCCTGACACAGCGCCTGCTAAATGCGGGCCAGTTATGGTTAGGATTTCGCCGAGCCAGCTCCTGGCTCAGCTTCATATGAGCAATGAGGTCAAGAGGTGGTGTCCAAAGGTGCCGAGACACAGCCTCGGAGTTGTACTAGCGAACCCGGGGGCCGGTCCTTCCTCTGCCGCTAAATCACTGGGTCGTCTTGGGCAGGTCCACGTTCCTCTCTGACTCCAAGCGTGTCCCCCCTTGCAACGATAATCTCTCCTTTCACGCTTTATGTGCATTTAGTCGGTTTTACATAAGTATCCCCTCTTTCAACAAGCTAGATGGTCCTTCCCAAGACAGGTCACGAGAGAGCATAGGATGTGCTACCCGAAGAACTCGCTTCAACCCCAGCCCTGCTGCACACTTGCTGAGTGTGAGCTGCAGTTCCCTCACCCATGAGCGGGTATAGCAACCCTGTCTTGCGCGAGCGTGCGATGCCCACATGCCCACGGTAGTGGGGGTGGCTGCTGACAATTTCTCTTGAGTCTTTGAGTCAGGTGCCCCCGGGACTGTGGAGGAAAGTCCTCTCTTCTTCTGTGCTCCTAGAAAGGCCTTTGGGGTGTAGGGACGGAGAGCTCCCTAAAGGCAGGGACTATGCCAATACTGTTCACCACTGTACCCCAGAGTCTAGGACAGAGCCTGGCATGTAGCAAATTGCTCGTAAGTGTCTATGGGAAAGAGGGAAGGAGGGAAGAGGGCCGTGGTATCTCAGACCTAGATCCCCAGGGACATAGAAGCAGCTCTGAAGTACTAATCTAGGGGGGCTTCAAGGCGGAGGGTGGACCAGGTGGGCCTCGGGCCCTCCCAGCAGTGCCTTAAAGGTCTATTCTATCTACACCCAGAAGTTCCCCACCCCCATCCAGACCTGCCATCTTGGGGAGCCCTGTACTGCCATGGGGGGGGTGCCCTGGTGTGGGCCATGTGAGCCCAGAGAAGGCGTCTCCCTATCTTCTGGGACAAGCTGCTGCATCTTCACGAAGTCCGACAACAGCGGCCACCGCTCCTGTCACCGAGCTTAAGTGCCAACATTTGGTTTCACGCCTGGGAGCAGAAAAGAAAGGGCAGCGCGGAGAATGAGCGCGTCGTCATCAGCCCTGCGGCCGAGCTGTGCGGGCAAAGTGGGTGCTGCCCTGCCCCAGGCCCCGGGGGTGGCTTTCCAGCTCCTTTTTCTCCTGTTGGTAGAGGCCCAGGATGAATCTCCATGACCTGATTCTGCTCAGGGCCAGAGTGCTCCAAACTTCCAAAGTTGCCCCGGGCCAGCCTGCTGTGTGAGTGTGAGTGCCTGTGTGTGTAAACAGGAGGTATGGGAGTGTGTGTGTGTGTGTAAGGGAGTACAAGTGTGTGTGAGGGGGAGAGGGATGCGGGATGCTCTTGTCAGGAGTGGGCCTCCTCATTCCCATCATACAAGGATATGTGGGTATAGCACTCCTCCTTGCCCCCGCCTGGTGTTCCCACAGCTCGAGCCCTGGTTTCCCATTCTTCATTCTCCAGGTCTGACAAAGAGCAGCACTGTTCTCTCTCTTCCGGAGCCATCATCCTCACCGGCCTTGGGCAAGTCACTGCCCATTTCTGAGGTTCAGTGTCCCCATTGGTGGAATGGGATTGCAAGCTGATCGCAGATCATCTGTTTTACAGATGAAGGCTCAAAGTTGAGGCACTCGGTAGAAAGTTGCTCATCTTTCGTCTAGCCCCGTTCTTGGCTCAAAGGGGCCTTATGTGTCTAGGAGGAGAGGGGACCAGGGGCAAGGGCCTCAGACTCCCCCTTGCTGCCCCGCTTCTCCCCCCAGACCCCAGCCGGAGACTCACAAGACCCCCGCAGCTGCCCTCTGAGCCTGTGGCCCAATCTGTCCCAGGAGAGCCAAGCTCTGGGGCCTAAGCTCATCTCCCCCTCTGCTGCCCACCCATTCTGTGCTTTGTCCCCAGGTGGTGGGCGAGTGGAAATTCAGCAGGATTCACTGTGACATCTTTGTCACTCTGGACGTCATGATGTGCACGGCAAGCATCCTGAACCTGTGTGCCATCAGCATCGACAGGTGAGCCCACCCAGGACGGGGGAGGGGACCCAGGCCGGTCACATGTCGGGCTTCCCCAGCTCTCCCGCAGGGGCAGGCTCTGTCTATGAAGCTGTGTGGCTGGCCGCGTGCCTGCGGGTCCATGTGTTTGTGCATGCACGCCCACGCGCGTGTGTGCACATCCATATGCAGATGTGCACACGTGTGCAGGTGCACGTGTGTCTGGCGGGGGGTACAGGCCGCCATCCTACAGATGGCGATGCTCCCAGGGTACCCAGACAGCGACCGGTAAGGAGGAGAAGGCTCCCAGTTCTGACTGCAGCCCTAGGTCTATCATTTCCCACGTACGTGACCTTGGGCAGAGTGTGCAAGTCCTCACAACCCTGCTTTGCCCAGAAATCAAGGATGATGACACCCATCCAGGCGGGGCTGCGGCGTCTGGCTGAGCATTTCCTGTCCGGCACAGTTACGCGGCCGAGGGGGCCAGGCTGTGCTCACCTTGCCGAGCTGTATTCTTGGAGCCTTTCACTGATTTGCACACGCGGGCCACTGGGCTCCCAGAGGCCCTGTCCCTACTCCCCGCAAGGGGTTCTCCGAGATGAGATGAGCTACTCTGTGAGACGCGCTGGGTAGAGGAGTACGAGCGATTGTAAACGTTACTACTGTGCTTCTTTTCTGACAAGTGGGGCTTCGCTCTTGCTCTGAGGGGCCTGGCTCCCAGTCCATCAGCAGACACTTCCGCCTTCTGAGAGCCCAGCACAGGTACAGTTTCAAAGTACAAAGACCCAGACCCTGGCCCCTCAAGCACCCGAAATCCAAGCAGGGAGACTGGAGCAATAGATAAGAAGGCCCAGGAGAAAAGGGTAGCCAGTCAGCCCCGAAGCTCTTGATTGGGCCTCACCAACGCTGGACGAGTGACTTAAAGTAGGCAGGCTTCGTGGAGGTGACAACCGTCATTCCCCAGGGCTCAGGGTGTCTCTGGTGTGTGCCTGCTGTGGAATGAGGGGTCCCTGGGCCTGCACCCCAGACTCAGGGACCCCGCCCCACGGCCTCGCAGGTACACAGCCGTGGCCATGCCCATGCTCTACAATACCCGCTACAGCTCCAAGCGCCGCGTCACCGTCATGATCGCCGTCGTCTGGGTCCTGTCCTTCACCATCTCTTGCCCGCTGCTCTTCGGACTCAACAACACAGGTGAGGCCTGCCTCGGTCTGCCTGGGGCCCCAGTGGCCCCCGGCGCAGGGCCCCGAGGGAGCTGAGCCCCTGCACAGACCCAGGGACTGAGGCCAGGCTGGGTCTCTGAATTGTGCGTGGATGGGCCAGAGAGGAACAATAGCTCGGGGCACGATGTGGTTGGGGGAGGAGTGGGGGTAGTGAGTCAAGAGGATGTCTGGCCATTTTCAACTTTGTTTATTAAATTGAAGCAAGCCAGGCAGCCGCACAAACCGCATGTGTATGTGTGTATGTGTGTGTGCGCACACATCAGGGGTGATTACTGGGCCCCTTCCCCCGCCCCCCCCGCCCCGAGATGATATCTGTGTAAGGAGGCTGCAGCCCAAGGGCTGGCCAAGCCCAGCACCGACCTGAGTCACCTGGAGCAGGGAACGTAGGAACGAGGAGGAGCTAGGGCAGCGTGCCTGAGCCATGCATCTGAGGTAGACGAAGTGTTGGGCCTGCCGGCGCGGGCCTAGCACTTTCTCTCACTGGGGAGGCCCAGGGATGCAGGTGTACCTCTGCAGACCATTACGGGGCAGGACACAGTGAAGCCTGGCAATCTAACTCTTGTGAGAATTCCAAGAAGCGCGAATAGGGCTTGATAGGCTCAGCCCTTCTGGAAAGGCCCTGAGATAGAGGACAGACATCGGCTAGACCAGGAAGGGAACTTGGAAGCACATTGGAGCCCAGGTGAGTTCAGCAAACAGGACCAAGTTACCCTGTTCCTAAAACTGAAAGGTGGCCGACTTCCCCCAAGTAGACAGGAAGGGCTAAAAGAAGGGTTTACTCTTTTAAAAGAATTCCCTTCTGTTTTTTTTTTTTCCGAACACTCGGGCTCCCCTTGGGTGTTCATGGATGGCAAAACTAATAAAGAAATGAGGAGGGAATAGTTTTTTTTTTTTTTAAGATTGTATTTATTTGCGAGAGAGAGAATGAGAGACAGAGAGCATGAGAGGGAGGAGGGTCAGAGGGAGAAGCAGACTCCCTGCCGAGCAGGGAG